GCCACCAAAACAAGCAAACCGATCGAGACATCCTCAAAATCTGGCCCACCTGGGGGGTGAAAATGAGCGCCTCGCTCGAGACATCCTCCAAATCTGCTCCGAAAGCGAAGGATGTTGAGCCCAGAAACAAGCAAACCGCCTGAGACATCCCCACAAAATGGCCGCGAACGAGCCCGTGCAACCACCCCTGGCGGCTCCCCTTCGGGCCACGAGCCTGGCCACCAAAACAAGCAAACCGATCGAGACATCCTCAAAATCTGGCCCACCTGGGGGGTGAAAATGAGCGCCTCGCTCGAGACATCCTCCAAATCTGCTCCGAAAGCGAAGGATGTTGAGCCCAGAAACAAGCAAACCGCCTGAGACATCCCCACAAAATGGCCGCGAACGAGCCCGTGCAACCACCCCTGGCGGCTCCCCGCCTGAGACATCCTCACAATCTGCTCTCCAAGCGAAGGATGTCGAGCCCAGAAACAAGCAAACCGCCTGAGACATCCCCACAAAATGGCCGCGAACGAGCACGTGCAACCACCCCTGGCGGCTCCCCTTAGGGGTGCTGAAACCAGCGCCCCGCTTGAGACATCCTTTCTGATGTGTGTTGAGTAAGTCTGAGTATGAGTAGGTCTGAGTATGAGTATGCCTGAGTATGAGTAAGTCTGTGTATGAGTAAGTCTGTGTATGAGTAAGTCTGGGTATGAGTAGGTCTGTGAATTAGAAAGTTCTGAGTATGAGTAAGTCTGAGTATGAGTAAGTCTGAGTATGAGGAGGGGAGGAGGAAAGAGGAGGCGGAAGGAGGAGTAGGAGGCGTCCAAGTAATAACAAGAACCCCATCTTAGGATATGGGGGAAAAAAACACAGACACAATGAATCGTCGATCCCCCAGGAAACATGAGAAAATATGGGCAGTGGGGGAGAAGACAGAATCCCAGAAAATATAGGAAAATATGGGTTTTGTTCGACGAGTGTGTGTATTTATTTGGGCTTCGACCGGAAGAGGTGCGCTCTCGACCCGCGAATCAAAATGTGTATTTATTTGTGTCCCAGAGCCCCTTCAAGGAGGCGTCGAGGGACCTGGCGGAGGCGTCGCGGGCCGCCGAGGCGCAGCTGGACGCCGCCAGGCACCGAGGTGGTGGGTGGGGGCGGAGGCGCCTGGGAGGCACAGGGCCTCCCAACGGCGGCATGAGTCACCCGACGGGGGGGGGAGGAGGAGGAGGGGACAAGGAGGAAGGAGGGGGAGGAGGAGGAGGAGGAGGAGGAGGAGGAGGAGGAGGAGGAGGAGGCGGAGGCGGAGGCGGAGGAGGAGGAGATGAAATGAGATGAGATGAGATGAGATGAGATGAGATGAGATGAGATGAGATGAGATGAGATGAGATGAGATGAGATGATATGAGATGATATGAGATGAGACGGCTCCCAGGGACGCCCAGGGAGGAAGGTACCAGCCCAAAACAATCCAGGGCACAACTGGCATTGCTGGCGACGGTGGTCCTGGAAACGACGTCTCGAGCGGACGCGACCGACACACCGACGCGAGGGGCGGGAACAGCCCGCTCGATCACCGCACGAATACGAGGGTTGAGGGCCAGGCCCCGCCGAGAACGAGACAAAATCACTTCGCCTGTGCGAGTCGGGGGGGGCGCAGGCTCTGGCCAGCTTAATGGCTTTCTCCTGACTCCACCCCCGCAGTTCACGCACAGAAGGGACCCACGCCTCGCCGCCTCACTCTCGGCACTGCACTGCACGGCACGCAGGGGAGCAATGCGAGAGCCAGACACGGCACTCAGCTGGTGCCCCAGAAGGTCTTCCGTGAGGGGCTTCAGAAACGACGGGGTCCCAAGACAACCATTCATCGGCAGATTGCGGCACGAAGGCGCAACCTTGACGAAACAATTATCCCAGTGCGACCCTACCTAGGAGTTGGAGCATTTAGGAAAGCAACACCTACAGATACACCGACAGCTACATGTACATCTACACCTGCATCTACGTCTACATCTACACCTACATCCACATCTACACCTACACCTACATCTACATCTACACCTACACTTTCTACTATCTAGGATGTTGATCTGCTATGCTGAGCTGTGCAATGCTGAACTGCCCTAACGAGAACACTCTACATATGATATGCGGTTCTATGTTATGCTATGTTATGTTATGCTATGCTATGCTTGGCTATGCTATGTTATGCTATGGTGTGCTAATGCTGCGCTATGCTGCGCTGCGCTAAGCTAAGCTAAGGCAAGCTAGGCTATGCTAAGCTAATGCTAAGCTAAGAGGAGACTGGCTAAGCTAAGCTAAGCGAAGATGATATAAGCTAAGTTAAGCTAAGCTAAGTTAAGCTTAGCTAAGCTAAGCTGGGTGAACCCAGGGGGCGGACGGATACCGGGGGAACCGCCCGGGGCGAGCCCCACTGCCCGGTCCCTTTTAAGATAGAGAGTAAGAACCCTTCTAGGCAGAGACTAGGTAGGTAAAAAGCGCATTGCCAGCACAGATCATTCCACCCCCAAGAGTGCCACTCCTCCCCGCGAGAGTTGTTTTTACGTCGCACCACAACAGGACGACGCCCGCGCTGAGGGCTGTCCTCTTGGAAACACGGGAGGGCAGCACCAACTACAGCAACAACATCGGCAACCCGACTCCTCGCGAGATCGAGCGATGCCAAAAACTCTGGCGTGCGGGAGGGGTGGAGGCTGGAGGCAAGGTTCGCGTGATGCTCAGCAATCCTGCTGGCCTCCGCCCAGTGACGCTTTCCGGCGTCGAGACTCTCGACCTGCTCCTGCCACCGATGAGCCTTCGCGTGACGGCCAGAGATGAACTGGTGGCCCTCAAGGCCCCGACCGAATTTCAAGTTTTCTGCGGCCTGGTTGGAAACACGCAACTGATTGGACACAGGCTGCTGGAATCGACGAATCGCCGCCATGCAACCGCTGCCAGCCAGGGCCTCACGGTCGGCGATCTGACCAATCAGGCAGAGAGCAACGCTCTCGGCGATGCTCGGAGTCTGAGGGAGGTAACCAGCCACAGGCGCACGTATGATGGCCACATCTGATGCATGGGAAAAAACTGCGATGGACCAGGATGCAGCCACGACGACGTCGGCGTCGACGCCGCCGACGGCCACGACGACGGCAACGACGACGACAGGTCGGAGCTGCGCGCCGCCGAGGCCCGGCTGCGGGAGGCCGACGGTGCAGAGGCTCCGCGGCCGTCGGCGTCGTGTGGTCGTCGTCGTCGTCGTCGTCGTCGTCGTCGTCGTCGTCGTCGTCGTCGTCGTCGTCGTCGTCGTCGTCGTCCTCGTCGTCGATGGTCGTCGACGCCGTGGGCGTGGCCGACGTCGTCGACGGCGCCAGGCGGCGTCGTCGTCGTCGTGGTCGGCATGGTCGCCGGCGTCGGCGTTATGGCCGTCGTGGTCGTCGTGGTTCAGAGGAGGACAAGGTACCCATACCTCTACCCTTCGGCCGTTTTCCCCTCTTTGGGCCTCCTGGGAGGTCCTCGTCGCCACCGCTGGATTCGCCCCGAAATTTTGGTCAGAACGCACCTCGGGAGAGGTCCAGGGGGTAGCGATATTGGTACCTTCTGGTTTCCCCAGTGGTCGTGGTCTTTGACGTGGCCGTCGACGTTGACGTCGTCGTCATTGTCGACGTCGTGCTGTTCGTCAGCGACTTGATCGTCGTGGTTCCCTTAGACTTTGTCGTTGTGGTGGTCGCCGTTGTCACCGCAGGGAGAGGAGGAGGGGGAGCAAGAGGAAGACGATGGGGAGCAGGAGGACAAGGACGTGGGGAAAACGAAGAAGTAGGGGGAGAGGTAAGACGCAGGGGGACGGTCTTTGTTCGGACTGGTCGAGCCTTCAATTCTCTGCTGCATGGAAGCGAGCGTGTCCAACGACAGGTCGTGCAGTTGCGCACGGAGCTGCAAGAGGAGACACCCTTTTCTTTCTGCGGGGGCGATGCAGGACGGCAGCAGTGATGGTACCCCTGCCTGCCCCAAATTGGAAAAGTGTGCTGGTGCTCGTGCATGGTGGCCGAGGAGAAAGGAGGATCGAGGGAAATTGCGATGGCGCAGCGAGGGAAAGGGCGACGGGTGCAGGAAAGGCAGGGCGACGCGTGAAGAGCAGAGAGGAGGGAAAGCGTGGCGGCGACGGTTCGGGACGGCTGCCTGCAAGGCTGTGCTGCCTCCCTTGTGGCCATCCTCCTGTTTGCCACCCCCGCCCGCTTCCTCCTCCCCTGAGGAGGAGGAGGAGGAGGAAGAGGAAGAGGAGGAAGAGGAGGAGGAGGAGGAGGAGGAAGAAGAGTCATCGCCGCAAAGCGCTCGAGCAGGTGGGTGTGGCCAGGGGGCCTGCAGGGCAATGTTGTCTTGATTGCGGCTATCCTCCAGCACTCTCCTGCTCCCCCGTAACCCTTCCTTCAGGACGAGCTGAACGTGGCAGACGTAAGACGTGTTGCCTTAGGTCGGGTATGCCCCCCTACAGGCGAATTTTGGAAGAATCATGAAACATACCCCAACGATATTTTCCTAAATAGTCAATAATATTTTTTATATATATATATATATATAAACTGCCCCGTACTGTTTTAGCGTATTTTTGAATATTCCTCCTGTAGAGGGACAGGCCCGACTTAAGTGTTGCCCTGATTGACGTTCTTAGCAGTAGCAGTCCCTTGCCAGCAAGGCAGTGTAAGGATTCTGCTGCAGCCAGCCACGAAGTCTCCAGTCCCAGACACTCGACGTCTCGATGTTTTCGGGATGCGGGCCCCTGACCTCCCGACCACTTCCCCGAGACCAGTGTTTCATCCCGAGCCGTTTTTTGACGGTCCCGAGCCCCGGCAAGGGCCCCGAGAGGCCGAAGGCGACGACAAACCTCCGCTTCGATGTTTGTCGAGACGCCCGATGTGTGGGGTTCTCGTTCTGTGCGAGCGAGTTTTCTTTCGCTTCTCATGCGCGGGATGCTGCTCAGCCTCCGAGGAGCCCCCGTTGGAGCGCCCGGGAGGCCCAGCGCGGCCCCAGAGAGAGGCCCCCCAAGACGCCGCAGCAGGGCCTCGCGAGACGTTCCAGGGGCCCTCGCGAGGGCCCAGGGGCCCAGCGCGACCCGAGAGGCCCCGAGTCGCCTCCCCCAGACATCGGCCGTCTCGAAAAACGTCGAGGTTGAGGTTTTTCGTTGTCTCCGGCCCCTCGGGGCCCTCGCCGGGCCTCGGGACCGTCCCAAAACGGCTCGGGATGACAAGCCGGTCCCAGGGGGAAGTGGTCGGGAGGTCGGGGGCACGTGTCTCGAACAACTCGAGGCGTCGGATGTCGGGGTCCAGGGAGCCCCAGCAGGATGTCCTTAAGAGGACTCCGAGGGGGCGCCCCATTGAGGAGTCCCCGGAGGCTCCCAAAGGGGGCTCTGGGTGGTCTTATCGGCTTGCCGTCTCCATGCTATTTACTCCTCCTATCCATCGGGGGCGGCAAACCCAGAGATCCAACATATTGAAAACATCAAGACAGAGGTTATTCCCAGTTTTTGGCCTCTAGGGGCCCTCGCCGGGCCCTGGGGCCGTCAAAAGACGACTCAGGATGAAAAACCGGTCCTGGGGAATGGGTCGAGACTTTCGGGGGGCCCGTGTTGAAAAAATCACGGCATCGGATCTCTGGGAAAAAGGGGGTGATGACTACGGGGGGATATCATCGTGTGGGCTATGATAATTCTCCAGATTGCATGGCGCCTCTTCTTATTTCATGACGTCCCTGGCCCCCCCCCCTTGGGCCGCGCACATGTTGCCGGCCATGATTTGCACCCCCCCCTCTTGGACGCCCCCCTCTTGGCCGCCCCCGAATCCACACAGCAGCCCGATATCGCAATTGCGGCTTAGCCGTGGCAGCTTACGCAGGCCGTGTCAGTGGCCTCTTGAGGGTCCAAGGGGGGCACTTCAAACCCGATTCAGACGTCACATCAACGGCTTTCCTCAGGGATACCCAATTGTGTAGCTGTTGTGTCCACTTTACAGACATCCCCAAGAGACAAGCAATTCGGGACCGCCATGGCAGGCTCGGCTCGTTGGCAGTCTTAGTCCCCGCCAGCTGCCCTTCTGAGTGCCCACGGGATGCACCCGAACACGACGCAGAGTTCACACAACCCGCTTCCATCAGGAAGGCCTTACTGTGCCAACTCCGTGTCAAATTTGTCGGTGCTCGGTGTCCCAACTTGGTCCCCGAGATAGCCTCAAGAGGCCCGCTGGGGGCAATGTGGGGCCGGCGTGGCAGCCACACGAGCCGCACGCCTCGCTGGTGGCATTGTTCCCCTCGTCTCGCTTCCTCTTTTCCTGCTGTCGCTTCTGATCATGATCCCTCCCTCCTCCCTTGCTCCCTCCTCCCTTGCTCAGTTCCTTCCGTCTTGCCGTGGCTCCTCCTCGGAAACTGAAACGTATACATTACCAGTGGCGGGCTGTTTTTCAATCCCAGGACTTTTTGAGGGTCGGGGGCGACGCTGGGGTGGTGTGGTGTATACTTTTTCCCCGATGCCCCGGGGAACCAACGAAAAATGTATACACCAGGGTCCCGTATACACCAGGATCCGCTCTGCAGTGTAAATTTCAATGCAGGGCCGGAAAAATCGTCGGTGTATAGAGAGTCTATCGATTCCCTACCTCCCTCCTCCCGTTCTTCCAATCTCCGCCCCCCTTCCCTCGCCCTGCTCTTCCGTCCTGGGAGGGGGGCCGACTCTGCTGCCTCCATGGGCGGAAGGGGGAGGAAGGAGCAGGGAGGGGGGGGGGGGGCTCCAGAGGCAGGCGCCTGGGAGCAGAGCAGAGGGCCAGGACCTCTGAGGAGCCACTCCTCGAGCCTCGCCCCTCGATCCTGGCAGAGCAGAGGGCCAGAACCTCTGAGGAGCCACTCCTCGAGCCTCGCCCCTCGATCCTGGCAGAGCAGAGGGCCAGGACCTCTGAGAAGCCACTCCTCGAGCCTCGCCCCTCGATCCTGGCAGGTCCTCCGGGGGGCCGTGCTCGCCGTCGGAGCGGCCGCCGGCTCTCCAGGCTGGGCGGCGCGCGGCGCAGCTCGGCGAGCTGGCCTCCGAGAGGGAGCGGCTCCTCCGGCAGGCCGGCCAGCGCGACGCCGAGCCTTCGGTGCCAGGAAGGGCGGCGAGGGGAAGGGGGGAGAGAGGGAGGACAGGCAGGAGGAGGAGGAGGAGGACGACAACGAAGAGCAGGAGGAGAGGGGGGGGAGAAGGAGGACGAGGAGGAGGAGGAGGAAGAGGAGGAGGAGGAGGAGGAGGAGGAGGAGGAGAGAAGAAAGGGGAGGAGCAAGGAAAGCAGAGGGGGGAATCATGGGAGGGAGGAGGAGGAGGAGGAGGAGGAGGAGGAGGAGGAAAAGGATAATGAGCAGTGTTCGGAGTATTCGATGCCGTGTGGGCAGATAGGAGCACGGCTAGAAGGGGGAGCATGAGGAGGAGGAGGAGGAGGAGGAGGAGGAGGAGGAGGAGGAGGAGGAGGAGGAGGGGGAGGATGAGGAGAAACAGGAAGAGGAACAGGAGGAGGAAGGTCGCCTTCGGGCGACCCTGTCTGACCGACCTAAAACCAGTGAGTCCAGTTCCTCCCCCTGACGAGGCCAGCGGCACGATCGAGCACGATTCGATTGAGCGAGGCTGATGTTCATGCGTTTGAGCGCCCCGTGCTCCTTTGCGAGTTGATCGGCATTTGTTTCTGTCAACTTCGTGTGTCATGAAACCTTCGCTTTCACCGAGTTTATTTTATCGCTTCGCTCATTCCGCCGGCCCGTACTGTGCCCTCGCTGGCGTTTGGGCTTTGGGGGGCCTTTTCGGGTCCTCGTTGGGGGTTTCTTCGGGGCCTCTTGGGTTTCTGTCGGAGCCTCTTTGGGGTTTCTTGGAGCTCCTTTGGGAGCATTTGGGAGCATCTTGGGGCTTCTGGGCGCCGCTTGGGGCCGAGAGCTCGATATGTCCGTTCCGGTTCCCACGTTGGGCCTCCTCTTTGGGCTGTCCTGGTGCCATCGTGGGCCGTGTCGGAGGCCTCTTGGGCTGTCTTGGAGGTGCCCTTTGGGCGCTGCGCTGCAAGCCCGCGGCGCCTAATGCGACTCGCACCCGGCGATGGACCACCGCTCCATCGAGGAGTGGAGGAGGGGATCAGGAGGAGGATGATGATGAGGAGGAGAAGGAGGAGGAGTGCCTGAGGAGGGTAGACGGAGCGCTGTGCAGAAGTTTCCCAGAACTTCTTTGTGCTCGCTGCCCATGTTATAGCATCGCTGGCACTTGCTAGCGTGGTCGGGGGGGAGGCATTTGGGGGGCCTCCTGGAGCCGCTTGGGAGCTTCTTGGGGGCCTCGTGAGGGCCTTTGGGGGGGCCTCCTGGGGCTTCTTAGGGGCCTCTTGGCGCCTCCTGGGGGCTTCTCACGGCCGAGGGCTCGAAATGTTGTTTCGTGTTCCCCCTCTGCGGCTTCTCTCAGAGCGTTCTTGGGGCCCTCTTGGGCCGTCTAGGAGGCCTCTTGGGCCGTCTTGGAACCCTCTTGGGCCGTCTTGGGGCCCTCTCGGAGGCCTCTCGGGCCTCTTCGGGCGATCTTGGGGGCCTCTTGGGCCGTCTTGGGGCGTCGCGATGCCGAAAAGGTGGAAACGCCAAACTCTCCCTAAAACCTGAGGAAAAGCAATGAATTTTGCCTCTTGGGGCCCTCTTGGGAGTGCTCTGGAAAGCCTCGTGGGGCGTCTGGGGGCTATCTTGAGCGTCTTGGAGCGATCTTGTGGCATCTCGGACCCTTGGTGTACCATCTTGGGGGCCTCTTGGGCCCTCTTGGCTCTTCTTGGGACTCTCTCTTGGCCCTTCTTGGGACTCTCGGGGACGTCTCGGGGCCCTGCTGGTGCGCTCCTGGAGCGCTCTGGGGGCTTCTCCCGGGACCTTGCCGGGGTACTTTTCGTCCGGGGACCCCCAGGGGCCGCCCCGCGCGGATCGAACTGGAAATTCTGTGAACCACTTACCGGAGATCTTAGCACGCCTCTGGGCCGCTGGGCAGGCGAATTTCATGCTAAGGCCCCTGAGGAGCAGACACCGCCGCCCCACCTTCTTTGGGATCGTGGATCCTTGGGTGGGAAGAGGAGACTTTTGGGAGGGCGGGTGGAGGAACAGGAGGACAATTGAAATGATCGCAGAGGGCAAGGGGGGGTGTAAGACGGCCCCAGAGGGTTTCCCAGAGCGCGACCAAACTGGCAATTGGAATGATCCCGGAGGGCGAGAGGGGGGTGGACGACGGCCCCAGAGGGCTTCCAAAGACGCCAGGAAACTGCCGAAGAGGGCCCGAAGAGACAGCCAAAACATTCCAAAAGGGCACCAAAAGGTATGGAAAACTGCGGGCGCAACCGAACAGGGATATGGAGAGGCAAAAAGGAGCATTGCCAGTTAGCTTCTGGGCCTCAGAAAAACCTCCGGGGACCCTCTGGGCGCGCCCAAGGCCGCTCAGGACAGCGCAAAAACGGCGTCCAGACGGCCGAGGAGGGCCCCGTGTTTTGCTTATGTTTTTTGCTTGTTGGGGGTGTCTGGTTTCTGGTGTATGGAACTCGAAGACAGGTGGAATGGGCATCCGGGACGGCCGCTGGTGGCCCGAAGGACGGTGAAGAGCAGCCCAGAAAGAGCCCGCAGAGGCCCCCAAAACCGGCCCAGTAGGCTCTCGGAGAGGCCTCTGAGAGGGCCCCGGTGGCGCTCGGAAGCGGAGCACGTGAAAGGGGAGCCGTTTCGGGATGGAAGTGGCGGCCAGAGGGCGGCCCAGCCGCAGCCCAGGCCCTCGGGCCGGCGGAATGAGCGGGCCGCGGGGAGGACCATGGGAGGGGTTGTGAGGGCTCAGGGACTTACATAAAGCACTCTTGAAGACCATGCTGTGGATATCACACACATTACCCGGTGTGGCGGCGGCTCGATTCGCTCATTCCGCCGACCTGTATTGTGCCATCGTTGGCGTTAGCATGCGCATTCGTGGGCCATGCGGCGCTGCTGGTCCGGCGCTGCTACGAGGTTGTGGGTGAGAGTCCTCAGGGAGGGATGTTTCTTGGTGTCTTTTTTGAGGATTCTCGGGAGCTCCTGTGTGGCAGTTTTAGGAGCTATTGGGGGCCTCTTGGGGGCGCCTTGGATGCCTCTTGGGGCTCTCTCGGCGTCTCTTGGGGGCCTCTGGGACCCTCTGGGGGGCTCATGTGGTCCGCTTGGGAGCCTCGTGGTGGCTACTGGGAGTTCCTCGGAGGCCGGAGGGGAGGCTCTGGGGGCGGTTTGGAGGCCGAAGGCTTATTGAGAGCTCTTAGGCCTGGATGGGGGGCTCTGGGGGCGATTTTGCGGCGAACGCTCGACATGTCCGTTGGGTCTCCCCCTCGAGGAGTCTTCCTCAAGGTGTCGTGGGGCTCTCCAGCGCCGTCTTGGGAGAACCTGGGGCCGTCTTGGAGTAGCAGTGTGCCGTTTGGGGGCTCTTGGCGGCTTAATGGGCCGTCTTGGGGCGATCTTAGGGGCTTCTTGGGCGGTCTTAGAGCGTCGGCGGCCGAAAAGATGAGAACGCTGAGAATCGTCAAAAACCATTAGGAAATCGATGGTTTGTGCCTCTAGGGGGCTTCCTGGGAGTAGTCTTTGAGGCATCTTCGGGCTTCTTGGAAGCGAATGGAGCCGTCTGGAGGCTATCTTGGGCATCTTGGAACCACTCCCGGTGACTCTGGGCCCTCTGAGACCGCCTTGGGGGCCTCTTGAGACGCTCCTGAAGGCCCTGAAGGCAGCCCCTAGGAGTTCCGGCATCCGTGACGGGGACCGCCTGGGAGTTCAGGCGGGTACTTTTCGTCCGGGGACCTCCAGGTGCAGCCACGCGCGCGCGAACTAGAAGTATTCCAAAGCTGTTACCAGAGATTTTGCACGCCTTTGGCACGTTTGGCCGGCGAATATGGTTCGCCTGGCTCGGCTGATATTGCCCATTGCGTCCCATCCGAGTGAAAGTCGTCGTCCTCTTCAAAGCAGCATCGCCGTTCACGCTCCATCTTGGTCGCTTGAACTTGCAAGCTGCCACTCTACATTACTCGAAAGGCGCACGCCATTTCGCCGACCCCCAGAAGAGGAGACGTGCGGTCTCCGACGCCGTATGTGCTGTTTGCCGCTTCCCGTTTTGTTGCCTGCGCGTAGGTGTTGCCAATTCATCCTCCTCTTCCTCCACACTTGTTACGGCGTTTCTTGGGAGCCTCTCGGAGGCCTCGGGGGCGGTCTCGTGGGAGGCTTTTCAGGGCCCCTGGGAGCTTGGGTGAACCCTCTGGGAGCTTCCAGGGGTCATGCTGGGGGTCTTGAGGGCCATCTTGTGGGGGAGTGCCCCTGGGGCCCCAACTAGCTACCCCTTCCGGGGCCATCTTGGGGCCCTCTCGGGCTATCTTCAGGATTTCTTGGGGCCCCCTCTTGGGGCCCAATTGGGGCCCCTTTCAGAGGCCCTCTTGGGGCCTGTTTGGGCCACTCTTGGGGCCCTATTGGGGCCCTCTTCAGGGCTTCTTTGGCCGTGTTGGGGCACTCTCGGGCCGCCTCCAGGCCCTCTTGGGCCATCTCTGGGCCCTCTTGGGTCCTCTTCCTCCTCCTCCTCCTCCTCCTCCTCCTCCTCCGTCCTCCTCCTCCTCCTCCTCCTCCTCCTCCTCCTCCTCCGCCCTCCTCCTCCTCCTCCTTTTCCTTCTCCTCCTCCTCCTCCTCCTCCTCATTCTCCTCTTCCTTTTTCTTCTCCTCATCCTCCTCCTCCCGCCTCTTGAGCCATCTGGGGCCGGTCTGGGTTTTCAGAAGCTTGGAAAGGCGAGAATGCGAAGATCATTGAGAATGTTAGCCAGCGTGGGCCCCAAGCAGCAAGGCAGTGCACTGTGGATGCGTCAGCGACGTGGTGCAAAGTGCGTGGTGCAAGCTACGTGGTGCAGTACACAGTGGACGTGGTGCAAGCTGGAGGCGACAACGAAGCGCCAGCGGGCGGCAACGTGGCGAAACCACGCCGAACCCACCCAGCGCACGAGGCGGCAAGGAGGTGGCAACGGGCGGCACCGTGGTGAAACCTCAGGCCCACCCAGCGCACGAGGCGGCAACGTTGCGATCACGGGCGGTAGCGTGGCGAAACCTCGCTGGACCCATCCAGCGCACAAGGCGGCAACCAAAAGCAACGGGCTGCAACGTGGCGAAACCTCGCGGGACCCACCCAGCGCCCGAGGTGGCAACCAGGCGGCAACCAAGCGGCAACCAGGCGGCAACGTGGCAAAATTTCGCCAGACCCAGCCAGGGCACAAGGAACCTCGCTGGGCCCACCCAGCAAACGAGGCGGCAACCAGTCGGCAACGAGGCGGCAACGTGGTGAAACCTCGCCAGACCCACCCAGCGCACGAGGCGGCGACGAGGCGGCAATGGGCGGCAACGTGGCGAAACCTAGCCAGGCCCATCCTGCGCACGAGGCGGTAACGAGTCGGCATCCTGGCGAAACCTCGCGGGACGCACCCATCGCACGAGGTAGCAACGAGGCGGCAACGAGGCGAAAATTTGCCGGAACCAACCCAGTTTTCAGGGATGCAACTAGGAATCCCTGAGTGCAAGCATTGTTTCGGGAACCAGTTCTAAATTCGTGATTGTTGCTTCTTGGAGCCCTCTTGGGGCAATTTGAGGCGGCCGTCTTAAAACTAGATTGGATGTTCTTGAGGCCTTTCTGGCGTGTTGGAGCCCTTGCTGAGCCATCTCAGAAGGCATCTTGGAGGCCTCGGAGGCTGGATTTCGAGGCTCGGAGGGCCCCAGCAGTGCGTTGACCAGCTCGGCGGACGTCCCAGAATGATTGATCGAGGACGCCCACGGCGAAACCACGCCTATGTGGCCCAGACGTTTCGGGGAATATTGGCCACGCTGATGGACCATGCGTTCCCCACGCCGCTGTGGAAACCCTTCGGGGAACACGTGGTGGAGGAGCAGGAGGAGGAGGAGCAGCAGCAGGAGGAGGAGGAGGGGGAGGAGGAGGAGAAGGGGGAGGAGAAGGAGAAGGAGGAGAAGAGGGAGGAAAAGGGAAGATGTGGAGCAGGATGAGGAGATCCCTTGGGAGCTTCTTGGTTCATTCTTGGGACCTCCCGGGAACTTCATGGGGTCCTCTTGGAGGCCGCTTGGAGGCCTCTTGGGGGCCTTTGGGGGCCTTCTTGGGGGCCTGTTTGACCATCTTACAGCGTTCCTGGCCCGCAGGAAGCCGTCTTGGAAGCTTCCCTTGGTGCCCTCTTGGGGCGTCTCATGGTCGTCGTGACGGCCATCTTGGGCGTCTTGGAGGCCTCTTGGGCCGTCTTGAGGCCCTTTGAGGACCGTCTTGGGAGCTTCTTTGGCCGTCCTGTGCCCATCTTGGAGGCCTCTTGGGCGCTGGGCGCTCTTGGGGCGATGTTGAAAGCCTCTTCGGCCGTCGGGAGCCAGAAACGGGGCAAAAGCCAACATCCTTCAAAACAAATAGTAAATCAATGATGTTGGCCTCGTGGGACATTCCTGTGGGTGCTCTTGGAAGCCTCTTGGGCCGTCTTGGGGGCCTCGTGGGGCCTCCTTGGGCTGTCTTGCGCCGTCTTGGGTGCATATATGGGGCAGTCTTGGGGGCCACCCTGGCCCCCCAGAAGCCCAAAACGGCACAAGAGGTCCCTAAGATGGCACCACGACGGCCTCAAGGCTCAACGTTGGGCCAGTTTCGGCCCCAGATGGCCCAAGTCAGCACCAAGAGTGCTTCAGGCCCCAAGACGGCCCCAAGAGCGCGCAAGCTACCGCCACGACGGCCTCAGGGTGACCCAAGAGGGCCCCAAGACGACCCGAGAGCGTTCAAAGAGGGCCCAGGATGGCCTCAAGACAGCCAAAGAGGCCCTCAAGACGCTGCACGAGGCTTCAGACAGGACGCCCCGTTCTCCTTGGAACACATACCTGTGTAGCATCTCTGCTACTTTGGTCTTCACAGGGTCCACCGCGGCCCAAGAGGCCCCAAGACGGCACGAGAGGCCCCCAAGACGGCCCAAAGACGGCCCCAAGGCTCAATGTACGGCCATGTTCGGCTTTACACCGCCCAAGTCAACCTCAAGAGCGCGTCAGATGGCCCAAAGACGGCCCAAGGCGGCCCCAAGAGCTTCCAAGTTACCGCCACGACAGCCTTGGGGAGGCCAAAGAGGGCCCCTAAGACGGCCGCAGAGCGCTCACAGAGAGCCCAGCATGGCCGCCCCCAAGGCACTCCGCGAGGCCTCCAGAAGGACGCCACAGAGGCAAAACTCGTCCCATTATTTCGAGAACGCATACATGGTTAGCATATGTGTTTCTTTGGTCTTCACATGCTCCACGACGAACCAAGAGGCCTCCAGGATCGCCCCAAGACGGCACGAGAGGCCCCCAAGACGGTCCCAAGATTGCCCAAGCCAAGAGTTCCGTAGCCATTTTGTCTCAAGTCTGGCTCTCCTGCGCAAGAGATAGTGCCGGCTAGAACTTCGTTTGCAACCGCGGCAGGAGCGCACGCAATGGCTTGTGTCGTCGATGGGGCACCTGTCGTCTATTGCTTGCTGAAGCATGCTTGCCGCCGCTTGCTGCCGCTGTACTTTGACCAGGTTCACGCAGTCGACGCCGAGAATTTGCCAGAGCCAGGCGTGCCGACGATCCTCGCGTTCAGCCACAGCAACGACCTCGCCGACATGCTGCTGCTCCTCTCGGCCACGGAGAAGCGGTACATAAGATTCGGAGCGGCTTCGTTCCTCTTCAGGATGACAGGAGTGATGTCCGTCGTGAGTTTCATCGCGAACCGTATCGGGGCCGTCCCCGTGGTCCGCCTGCAGGAGACCGAGGGCGGCGGCACACAGCAGGCGGAGGCGAACAGGGCTCTCCTCGAGCGGATGATGGACGCTCTGAGCCGTGGCCAGTGTGTCGCCCTGGCGCCTGAGGGCGGCAGTAGATGCCGAGTCAAGTTGAATCCTTTCAAGCCTGGCGCCGGTGTCTTCGCCGAACGTGTAGTGATGCAGGAGCTTGCCGAGGGCCGGCCGGATTTCTCTGTGCGGATCGTGCCTGCTGGTGTGGTGTACACGCATTGGACGCTTTGGCGCTCCGCTGCCATGGTGCGCTATGGCAAGCCTGTCATCGTGGACGCGGCGCGTCTCGACAGGTTTGGAATCACTCCGGACATCTACAGCGATACGAGGAATCAGAGGCACCGCGACCTTGTTGACGATGTCATGAACGAGTTGAGGGGCAAGCTGGCCTCGGTTGCCTACGACATACCTGCGCATGCAGTCAATGAGGGCGGCAGGGCGAGGATCGCGGACCCCGACAAATCGAAAATTCTCGAGGGAGATTTCCCAGCTCTTCGCAAGGGTGTCGTCGCCGCTCGCATGGCGCTGTTCGACTCGAACATCAGTAGATTGCCACGGATCGACATTTGGCAGGACGCGGTCGTCACCCTTGCCAAGGCGCTGCAGGCCAACAGAGATCTCGGCAACGATGTCTGCAAGTACCATGAGTCGCTCGTGCGCGTGGGATTGCGAGACGCGCAAGTTCGGGGCCGCAGCCGAGCAGGATGCTGTCACATCCTCTGTGCGGCAATCTGGGCGCTGGTGTCGGTGTTGCCACTGCTCCTCGCAGCTCCTGGCGCCATCCTCTTCTCGCCCATGCTCCTCCTCACTTGGCGAAAGCACCGGGCCACGATCGCGAGGAGCAAGGCCATGCAGCAGTTCTCTGACGCCAACAACGCCACAAGCGAAGACGTCCGGAAGGCGTTGAAGGAGCAGCTTGGACGGGAGCCGGATGTTCAGGACATGCCCAGGGACGAGGACATCGTCCGCCGGCGCCGGAATTTTGACTTGATCACGGGCCGCGGGAAGGGCATCCTCGCTGTGCTTTACTTTGTGTTTCTCGAGTGCTTGTTCCTGGTGCTGGGCCTCTTCCGCGTGGGCAAGGTTGCGGAGCTCGTGCACGTGAGGAAGCCGATGGCCTGCGTTGGCGTCTTTCTGCTACTGCCGAGCTTTGTGTACCTCTTCTTCGTCCTTTCGCTTCGTGCCCTGGACGAGGCATGTGCCCTGCTACGCACGGCCTCCGGGCACTGGGCTCTTGCGCGGGTGGCGAACCAGAAGCTGGCGGAGTTGCGTGGAGAGCGTGAGCGACTGCGCAGGGAAGTTTTGGATCTTCAGGGCATTGACGAGGTCGTGGCTAGGGCCCAGGAGACGCCGGCAGGTTGGTCCAATCTACTCTTCGGACGGAGCCGAAGCGACTGGATGGAGGCCCTGAGCTTGTCGGAGGATCTGGAACTCAGCCTGAGCGGATTCTACGAGGACCCGCCCTGCGGCGTGAATGCCCGAGAGCGAGAGCCGCACGAGGGTTATGACCAACTCGCCGAATAGCGGGATGGCTGTTCTCTTTTGAATCAACAATAATGGCTGCACTGTCAAAGCGCGAGTTTCGACACATGCAGTTGCTCTTACCTCGCGTCGCTTTGTGGTTCGGGCTTTAGTCGTGATGCAGAGCACCATGGATTGTTTTAATGAAAATCTGGCTGTACCGCCTCTTCCTCGTCTGGATAGCTTCACGCAGTGCCCTGCCGCGAACAACACATATTCTAGTATTTTGCGGTGGGCCGCGACTTTGATGTGGAAAGGCGTCTCGTGGGGGTTTTGAAACAATCGTTGCCTGGACGAGGGTCTGGAAGGCCTTCGAGCTTGAGGCTCGCAGGCATCTTGCTTCCCCAGCGTCTGGTCGCAGCTGGCGGGAGGAGGAGTCCTAGGATAAAACATAAAAGATAGAGGGAGGGGGGCGAGGGCGAAGGGAGGAGATGCCCGGGCGTTCTAGTATTTTGCGGTGGGCCGCAACCTTGATTTCACTCGGCGAGGCTGGTTGAGTTGACTCCCTAATAATGCAGTCCAGGGGGCCAGTTCCCGTCACAGCGAGCACTCGCCGCACTCGTTGCGCTACTTCTCTTTATCGCCGTCGCCGGTTGCCACCGCTAGCCCATGCCTAGCCCCTGCTCCCTTCTGATCTCCCTCACATCTCCGTTTTCCCCCTGATGAGAGAAACGTTTCTCCGCCAGGGTGGTTCCATCAGCTCCGTTTCAAGCGCGCAGGTGGCAGTTTAGGCTAGTCGGTGACGCGTATTGTATTGCACCCGGGGTTGACATGTGCAGAAGAAAAAAGAAGATTGCCCAACCCAAGAGCGTTCCAAGACGGCCCAAGAAGGCCCCAATACGGCCCACGAGATGCCCGTTGGGGGCCCCAAAAAGTTCCCAAGAGAGTCCTAAGAGGACCGCAGGAGGTCCCCAGGAGAGCCCCAGAGGGCCCCTTGAGGACCCCAAGGCCGCCCAAGCCCCCCAAGACGGCCCAATAGGGCCCCAGGACGACCCAAGATGGCCCCAAGACGGCTCAAAGGAGCCCCACAAGGACGCCCGAAAAAGACCCAGAGAGGCCACATTCGTAGCTGTTCGAAAGGTTGGTTGCCCCGCCACCGTGCCTGGGTTGTAGGTGGGAGGCTTCCTGGATGTTCGCTTGTATATCGTGGGAGGCTTCCTGGAGGCAGGTTTGAGACCTCTTGTTGGTAATGTTGATGTCTGTTGGTGCCGGTTTGGGGCCGCTTGGGGCGCCTTTGGGGGCCTCTTGGGGGTCTCCGTGGGCCTCATCGGGGCCTTTTGGGGCGGAAGGCTCGGGTTTTCTGTTCGTGCTACATCTCTTGGGCCCTTCGTAGGGCTGTCTTTGGGCCCTCTTGGGCCGTCTTGGGCGCCTCTGCGGCCTTCTTAGATCACTCTTGGGCCGCCTGGTGGGCCTCGTGGGGTCCTTTTGGGGCGGTTTTGGGAGCATTTGTCGGAAGCTCGAAAAGTCGAGGGCTCCAAACGCATTGAAACACCCGACCAGCACAAATGCTGGTCTGTGGGTGTCTTCTCGGGAAGGCTCTTGGGGCTCTTTTTTGGTGCGCCTCGAAGGCCGATTGGCCCGTCTTGGGGCCATCTTGTGCGTCTTGGACCGATCATGCGGCGATTCGGTGCTTTTTGAACCGTCTGGGCGAGCTGTTGGGGGTCTCTTGGCCCGTCCCAGGTCCTTTTTGGTTCAGAAAAATTCATGCGACAACACGCCTGGAGCCAAAGTCGATTGGAAATTCGAGGTCCAGGCCTGTTATAGAATCGTCAGGATTGAGGACTGCGGCTTAAGGGATGAGGGCAAGGACCTGAGGACGCTCCAATTCGTGCCTCAGGCCACGGTGGCGGACATGTTGTCTGCATCGTGCCTGTATTTGTGATGCTGTTCGGCTCGTGCACAGAGTCGCCAGTGTACCCGCTCGTCAGGCGAATGCAGCCGACGAGGAACTGCGAGCGCAGCTTCGTGCGCTCGAGACCGAGAGGGAACAGGCGCAGCAGCAGGCGCGAGCTGTGGTGCACTCTGCCTCGTCGTCCTCTGCATGCCGCCGCCACCGGGGTCCCTGCCAGCATCACTTAGCCCTCCCCCCTTCTGGAGCACTTGCGACGCCTCGGGAGCACGCAGCGCGTCCAGGACCCCACTCGCCCTCCCCGTCGGCTCGCCTCCTCGGAGCACGCGTGAGGCCCTGGCTCCGTCAGGGCCCCCCCCTGGCATCCTAAGCACCTGCTCTGCACTCGCTGGAGGCCCTTCAGGACTCCGCCTCCCAACTTGGCCCCGACGAAGGCCGAGCATGACGAGGCGGAGGAGGAGGCGGAGGAGGAGGAGGAGGAGGACAAAGCGGGAGAAGGAGTCGGGAGAAGGAGGAGGAGGAATGAGCTGTTCACGCCGTTGCAAGGATGCCCCAGGTAGTTGTCGTGACTCTGTTTCTCTGGTGCCCTCTCGCGCGATACGTATCCAGTCACTTCCAGAACGCGTACTTATATCAAGGCATGTCTGCCTACAGCGGTTGCCCAGTTGACCTGTCCAACGGGATCCGTGCTGCACGTCAGTCCTAGGTGCATTGGCTTTTGGCGCACAGCGTTGCCGTCGGTTCCAGAGGTTGCCTCGCCATCGATGAATCTAGAGGTTGACCAACCCTTGGCGGGGAAGCTGGCGGAAGGTCAGCGGAAATCGGCGTAAGTAAAACGATTACACTAGAGAAGAACTCCAATCAGTGGATGGTATTGTTGAGGAGATCGACGGGGAACCCGGGAGCCCGGGAACCAAGAAACCACCGAAATCGGCCCGGAACCAATAATCGGGACCCCGGAACCCGGGAGCCCAGCCTGCCACCAAAGTCGGCGGAAAAAAATCGTCTAATCTTTCAATTTCCGCTAGGACCCCTTCAGTTCAAGCACTGATTGGGGAGTGAATGCGTCTTGGCAGAAGCCGTCGGAAGCCCGCCAGAAGCTCCGGGAGGTAAGGGTTTGCCCCCGAGATGGGTAGGCGCTGATGCCCCCAGGGGTTCCGGGCCTGGTTATGTACGACACGCGCGTGCTCGGATGGCTGGGTCTTGCAGCTGCAGCCTCCGCTCCTGTGGTCAGTCGTCGAAGTATTGCCGACGAGTCGCGGGACGGCGCAGCAGACGAAAGGCCTCGGCCCGACGTGCTCTACGTCTTTGCCCCGCGGGCTGCCGTTTCTCTCGGAGCCGGAAGTCATGCGCCAAGCGTTCCAGGCGCTGCTATGTTTTCGGATAGATTGCGCGCTCTGTTCTCGCGCACGCGTTTTCACAGCCCCTGCGAATGAGAAGAGGAAGAGATAGCGTTCACGCATGCCTTGAGTTGACGAACGCAGCGCTGCTTCAGCGAAGAAACGTTATGTGTTCGCGCAGCTCCAATTTACGGAAGTATATTTGGCCGTTTCATCTCGCCATATTGGCCGTCCGATGTATTTATCAAAAGCAGTTTGGGTCGGCTAAGTGACAGCACGTCCCCTGGATGTTTGATGCTTGCATGAAGGTGCTCGCCAGCATCGACCGGATTACGACGAGCATCTGAGTTGTTGATTTACAGGCCTTTGTGGACAGACTGCGAGTAAAGGGCGCACCCAGGCGCCAGCGAAAGAACCGTGCAAAGTGCAGAACGTGTGCTGGCAGAGACGGGCCACTATGTGTGCTTTCGCGGCCCCTGGAGCCTGGGGTCAGCTCGAGAGGCCGCCCTCCATCTGCCGTCCCCCACGGGCGCTCCTCGATCTCACCCGCGACGGATCTCAGCCCGCGCTTTTTTATGATAGAGAGAGAGAGAGCGAGAGAGAGAGAGAGAGAGAGAAAAAAAAAAAGAAAGAAAGAAAGAAAGAGCGCGCCTGCCACAAGGGTGACGCAGCCAGGGCCCTCTTCTCACGGTGTGCCCGCAGGAGGCGGGGCTCTGAGACCGGAGGCGAGGGCCAATAGGCGGTTCGGGCGGAAATCTGCTGTGGCGGCTCGCGCCATCGAAGGCCTGCAACCTGCGATGCCATCGGGCCAGCGACCCCGAGCACGGCGCCAGCTTCTGGCGAGCGCGACGCCGACGGTGCAGCCACGTGCTGGCGCACGGGAGCAGGCCACGAGCCGCGCCCGCCCTGGCGCTTGGGCGCCGGCCTCTCTTGGCCGGCAGGGAACTCGCGCGGATCATCGCCAGGCGGCTGGTCGCACAGCGGCTTGGGCAGGGGGGAAGAGGGGGAAGAGAACAAGGAGGAGGAAGAGGAGAAGCCTTGGAGACGGATAGTCCACCTGTCTCAGGCCGCTCGCGTGAGAGGACACACGCGGCGTGCCCGGTGTTGCGCGCGCGGCGGCACACTGCTATAGAAGTTCGGCCCCAGCTTGAAGGCATGTTGCAGCTTTGGGGACGAGGAGGCGGAGGAGCAGGAGGAGGAGGAGGAGGAGGCAGAGGAGGAATATCGGGAGAACGAGGAGGGCCAGAGGGTTGGCAAGAGGGCTTGGATCCTTGCCAGATCTCAGCGCGTCGCGGCCCTCGTCGAGAGACTGGGCGTACCAGCCCCCCGACACGAGGCTCGACAGCCGAGGGCCTGATCTCTTGCGGGATGGTGTCTGATCCCCGCGCTGGCGCGTAATTTTCGTTATCAATGGCAGCGTTTTTGTTGGAGGAACGCGTCATCCTTGAACAAGCCTCAGAGCTTTCCGCACAGGGATCCTCAGACACGTCGCGTACTCAAGGTTGCGGCATGGCTGTGACGCAGGGCACGGCGTGTCGGGCACGCGCCGTCCACGGGATTCTGCAGTTGCCCCGATCGTGGTTTCGAGCAAGTTTCCGGCGGCGGGACTGCGACTGGCTGAAACGCGAGGGCACGCTGACCTACGCTGCAGGACCTGGGTGCGGCGCAGGGTGTAGTTCAGAGCGCACCAGATGATCTAGCGCGCTCTGCTCGAACACGGAAGAAGCGCACGTCCGAAGTGTCCGTCAGCTTCAGTTGCGCGCATCAACACTCAACGTTGGCAAGGCAGGGGGACGTTGCCTGTTCGATTGGCGTGCGCTTCTCCAGCAGAGGTGACCAGCACCCCCAGCTGTAAGTGCAGTCCCCCGAAGGAGGGAAGCACAGTTTCTTCACAAGGGTCCAGCTGTCCGAGACTTTCTGGGCAAGAGGAGGACCAGCCATGGTTGCAGGATTCATTAAAGTTGAGGGCCTGACATGTCGTGCAATGAATGGAATTCCCCTTTGCTTGAGCACGGCGTTCGCTCTCGATTGACCTGCATCGCCTTCTCGCTGCACTGCTCGTTCTGCTCATCCGTGCTCCGTGGCGCTTCTGCTACACTTCGGTATCGCTTAACCGATCCCCATCCCCATCTCCATCCCCTTCGAGACCCCCACCAAAGTACCACCCCACTTGGGGATACACCCCTCGAAACCCGAAGGGAACGACCTACATCCCCAGCTGGGGGGGGAGTAAGTCGGCCAGCGGGGCCCAGGCCACGCCGCTGGGGGTGGGGATCGGTGAACCGATGCTCAGCACCGACCCTCCTCGTGTGAAGGCGGCGAGGGGCGAGGAGACGCTCCGAGCAGAGCTCGACCGGCTCGCCTCCGAGAACGAGCGGGCCCGGCAACAGGCTGCGATGTTCCAGTTGACCAGGAGGAGGAGGAGGAGAAGGAGGAGGAGGAGGAGGAGGAGGACCTTGACCTTGGCGGGCCTCGTCATACAGGGCCCACGTCGATCCGATCGATCTGATCGGGTACCGGTTTCGGCTGGCCCGATCCGATGAGACTCTGATGTTCCGGCGATCCTGCGTGGCCCGATGATTGCATGGCGCTTTTGTTGTGCATCCTGGCCAAGCCGATCCGACTCGATGTCGGCTCCGTGCTGATGCAGCCCGATCCGACGCACATTGCGAGTCGGTCCGAGTTCCCGATCCGATGATGATTGATCTTGGCTCGTGCTGCACTCTCTCTTGTCTTCTGCCGCAGGCGTTCGGCGCGACGCCCCCCCTTGTCCGCCCGCGCTGCCACGGTGCGTGATTTCACCATCGCGACGGGCACGATGTTTCTGCTTATCGGTCGCAACGTTTGCCCTGCCACGCAGTCCGCGGCTCAAACGTAGTCCAGGCTCGTGTTGGCTGTGTGATTGCAGGGCTCTTTGTTGGTGATGGTGTGCTGTACGCCCATCAGAGATCTCGAGAAAAAGCGTAAACTTTCGTGGACTCCAGATCTCGCCCAAGAATCCAGAATCTGGATTGGACCCTGGGAGCTTTCTTGGAGTCTCGCTTCTTCGTAGAATGATCGTATATCTGGACCTGGACTACTGGTGAAGTAAACGCTTCGAGCGAAGTCGATGTTCTGAATGTCGACGTTCCCCAACTTTGAGCTGGGGTGTGGGAGGGAGTGCTCGTGAGGCGTGCCCCCGCTGGCCTCTCTTCGGGCTCTGCCGTGCGCCCTCCCCAAGATGCCGGGCCGAGGCCGCCGAGCTGGCCCCCCTTTTTGCGCTTCCGCACGCGGCCTCCCGCTCCATGCGGCATCCCCGCCACCGTTCGCGCGAGGTCTGCCCCCCTCCTCCTCCGCCTCCTCCTCCTCATCATCATCATCATTTTCCTCCTCCTCAGTTTCCTCCTCCTCCTCCTCCTCCACCTCTTCCTCCTCCTCCTCCTCCTGCTCCTCCTCCTCCTCTTCCTCCTCCTCCTCCTCCTCATCACCATCATCATCATCATCATCATCATCATCATCATCATCATCATCATCATCATCATCATCATCATCATCATCATCATCATCATCCCTCCGCCCTCCTCCTTCCCTCCTCTTCCTCCTCATCCTCCTCCTGCCCGCGCAGAGGGGGGGAGACAGGGGGGTGGGGGGGCGCCCAGAGATCCGGCGCGCCACAAACACTGGAGCGGACGGTTGTGGGCCGTGTTCGGCCTCCGGGGGCCCTCGCTGGGGCTCGGGGCCGTCAAAAAACCGACTCGGGACGAGCAACACGGCCCCCAGGGAAGTGGTCCAGATCTCGGGGGCCCACGCACCGAGAAAAGTGGAGCAGCCAGGTGTCTGGGAAGGGGGAGGAGGGAAGGCTATTTCGAAGCACCCCTGCTTCTTTGAAGGCGCGGGCCTTGTCTGACCCCTCCTGAGAAGCAGCCTCCTTCGACGTCGACGCCTCCCCCCCCTTACCCCCTGGTGCGCGCACCCCCCGCCCCGTGCGCGCCGCCGGCGCTCCGAGGTCCCCGCGCGCTCGTCCCACGCCGAGGTCTGCCCACCCGTGTTCGCGCGAAGTCTCCCACGCCAGGGCCTCCCACGCCAGGGCCCCCCCCACTCCGCGCGAGGTCTGCCCCCCGTCCCGCCTCGCCCCTCCCGCCGAACCCCTCGAGGAGCGAGCAGCTGCATGTGAGCAGAGATCTCTCGGAGCTCTGCGCGGGCCTACCTCTTGGATCCGCGCCTAGGGCCCCCCTGGCAGCGCCGCCGCCGCCGCCCCTGGCGGCGCCTCCGGCGCGCCAGGGAGAGGGGGTCCAGGAGGAGGAGGAGGAGGAGGAGCAGGAGGAGAGGAGGGGGCCCCGTGCCGATCCGACAAAAATCCGAGCGGAGCTCCGAGAGTTTGGGTCGGCGCCGTGGTGTTGCCCAGATCGTCCCTGGCCCACGGTGCCCCCAGGACTTCCAGGGAGGCCCTCACCAGGGCTTGACCTAAGCGGTGTTTTGGCCATGTCGTGGGCCGTTTTGTTTTTCGCCTTGTTTTGCATTCAAGGCGAAGCGAAAACAAAACGAGGAAAAACGGAAAACAACACGAACACGAAAACGCCGCTTAGGGTCAGCCCTGCCGAGCACCCTCCGCGGGGCCCAGGGGCCCCCCTCCTCCTAGGAATCGCCCTCCGGACCTCCCCAGGGGTGCGCTCGAGTCAGGGTCTCGAGGCAGGGGTGGACCTAAACGGTGTTTTGGCGAGTTCGTGGGCCGTTCTCGTTTCGCCTTCGTGTTGTGTTAAAGGCAGATGGAAGACAAAACGAGGGAAAGCGAAAACAAAACGAAAACAAACAACACCGTTTAGGTTCAACCCTACTGTCTCGAGGGGCAACCGGCCGTGGCCGCCACGAGAAGCGTGCCAGGGGTGCCGAAACCACCACCACCACCTGCGCCGAGCGGCCAGGGGGCGCCGAGAAAGGATAACAAAAATCGGAGGGCAACCAGCCGTGGCCGCGATAAGCTTGCGGGGGGTGCTGAAAACACCACCACTGCGTCGAGCGTCCAGGGGGTGCCGGGAAAGGAGAGCAAAAATCGTGGTGATCGACAGGGGTGCGGAAAGAGTGGGCACGATGCCCAACAACAGCAGTTCCTGTTCATTCTGAGCCAGACTCGCTGTCTGCGCCGCCGCGGACGGTGTTCACTGCAGGCAAGAAGCCGCCTGCCTAACAGCGGCCGCTGTCTGTTTTGGACAACACCTGCTGTCGGGTATTGGACCCATTGTTTGTCCGTAAGTACCCATGTCGGGCGTCCCAAAGAACCGTGCTTCGAGACCTCGCCCGTGGGGCCCCAAATAAGGACGCGAAAGGAAAGCTGGGGGAGCACCCCGGGCCAGGAACACTTTTCTGACGGTCTTGTTTTCCACCACCACCACCACCACCACCATAAGTAGGAGGGGGAGGGGCCCCCTCCTCCTCCCCCTCCTCCTCCTCCTCCTCCTCCTCCTCCTCCTCTTCCTCCTCCTCTTCCTCCTCCTCCTCCTCCTCCTCCTCCTCCTCCTCCACCTCCTTCCCCTCTCCAACTTAGGGTGGTGGTGGTGGACAGCAAGCCCATCATCTTCGGCGGGCCCGCAGGCGGAGCACGCGGAGGCGGCGGCGAGGGCGCGCCTCGAGGGCGGGGACGCCGAGAGGCAGCGGCTCCAGCAGCAGGCAGCCGGCGCGCGCTCTTGCGCGCGGCTCGGCCGCGCGGCGGCCGCCGGCCAGCCGCCCGGCCGCCCAGCTCGCCGAGCCTCGCCACTCGGGCCTGCCATCGCTGCAGCTCGAAGGAGGCAAAAAGACGGGCCTGTTTTTCACCACCACCACCACCACCATAAGTTCAGGGGGGGAGGGGGTCCTCCCCCTCTTCTTCCTCCCTCCTCCTCCTCCTCCTCCTCCTCCTCCTCCTCCTCCTCCTCCTCCTCCACCTCCTTCCCCCCTCCAACTTATGGTGGTGGTGGTGGTGGAATACATCAAGAAACGCCATGAACATAAACTGTTGGCGCTCCTCGCGGATTTCTTGGATCCGCGCTGGGCATTCTTAGCGGCGCCTCCGGCGCGCCAGGGAGGGGGGTCCAGCGCAGATCCAAGAACACCGCGCGGAGCGCCAGAAGTTTCTGTTCATGGCGTTTTTTCCTCTAGAGCTATCGCGAGCGTCTCGCGCGCCCAGGGCACGCGCTCGACGTCCCCCTCCCCCAGAAGGAAGCTTGCCGCTCGAACTGGAGGGGAAACTCGGGAAGAGGCCTCCCCCCTCTGGGGACGAGCCGGACGCACCCCACATCGAGAACGGGACGGGACGCCCCCTCGTCGTGTGTCCCCAGAGCCTGGCCTCCCAGAGTGTTTTTTGGCCACTTCGAGAGTCCCACCGCGCCTGAGACCGGGATCGCCAGGCCTGTTGTGTTGCACCGTGGTACCTCCCGCCCTCAGAGGCTGATGCCTCAGCCGCTTCGAGGCGTGCTGACATACAGTGGAAGCGCGCATCAAGAAACCAAATATGTTTCGCCAGGATACCCTTGGTTTCTTCGCCAGGATACCCTTGGTTTCTTCAATCCGCGCGCTGCGCGGTGACTTCCCGCGGCCGTTATGAAGAAACTGCTGCGTTCAAGGTGCTCCGGATTTCCCCTCAGGTGCACCTCGCGCGCGGGTTTTCAGTGTTGGATTTCTTGCGATGGTTTCTTGCGACCGCGCCCGCACTGTACACGCCCCCTCCGATCGTCGGGGCATCTCCCGTGCCCTGTCGTGTGTTGGCCCGCCCCCCCTGTAGCAGCCCCCGGAGAGGCTGGACTGCCCTCCCCGCGTGCCGACGGGAGGTCGGCAGGTGCCGACATGGCAAGCAGGAGGGGCCAAGTCTCCTTGTCGCTTCTCGAAGGAAGGGTGGGGGGGATGTTCGGAGCTGGGGGAAGGAACCAGGAGGGATGAGGGAGGAGGGATGAGGGAGGAGGGAGGAGGGAGGAGGGAGGGGGGAGGGGGGAGGGGGGAAGGAGGAGGGAGGATGGAGGGGGGAAGGAGGGGGGAAGGAGGAGGGAGGGGGGAGGGGGGAGGAGGGAGGAGGGAGGAGGGAGGAGCTCCTGGGAGGGCCGTGGCGTTGCCCTTGCTGTTCTCCGAGTGGCGTGGTCCGCCTCTCTCGTGCCTCCCTGCTCGCGCGTTCCTGGCAGGCAGCGCAGGCGGACGAGGACATGAGAAACCAGCTCGGCACGCTCGAGATGGAGAAGCAGCAGCTGCTTCAGCAGGCGCGTTAAATATTCGAGGTGGCCCAAAAGGGAGTCCAGCTGAAAGGGGGTGGTGCAATAGATTTGGGGCAATTGCATTGCACATGTAGTGTGCCGGAGAATTGTATTGCATTCAAGTAATGCATTGCACGCGAAAGTCCAGCAATACATTTGCGCCCCAGAATGTGTTGCACGCCCCAAGTATATTGCAACCCCACAAAACTATTGCACCAAATCTATTGCACCACCCCCTTGTCGCTGGACCCCCCTTTGGGTCAACCCGAAATCTGTCCTTGCCGTTTCCGCGTCTCGAGGCGTTTGAGGGTCGCTCCTCCTCGCCGGCCTTCTCCGCAGCTGCGGGTGTGTGAAATCGCTTCGCCGTTTTGCGGGCACGATTGCCTCACCGCCCCCTTCTCCTCCCACATGGTGCTCCTGGAGTGCAGTCGACCCGCATAGTAAGGATGACAGATTGATTACAGTCGGCCCGGATTAGTAGGTCGACCCTGCCAGCTCAAGGGTACCCTTGTGTCCTGTGCCTCGCGACACGTGCCTTCTTACACTCCAATGGCGATGTGGCCCGCGGAAGGGTCTTGTGTCCTCTCGCGTGTCCTCTCCAATCAAGGCCGACTGTACCCTTGCATCCTTGCCCTATTCGGCCCATCCTTGGCGACTTTCGCCGGTCACCTCCACTCGAAAAAACGTCACCATGTCCAGGGCCCTTGAATCCTCACAGCGCATTCTTACCATACAGGTTGACTGTAGCATTCTCTTCTCGAGTTCCTGCTGTCTTGTATTCCACAGCCTGCCTCTCGTCGCGTGTTTCCTGTGACCCCTCCCCCGTTTGTCCATAACTCCCCCTCGTGGGTGTTTCCGACCGATCCCTTTCAAGCATTTGCTCGCCCATCTGCCCGCTGCTCGCCCCTCCCTCGGACCAGCTTCTCCCTGCCCCCTCCCCCCCATTCCCGCCTTGTTACGGAGTTTACAGCGTGGTCCGTCCAGAGAGGAGAGACTTGCCGTAGTGAGTGTAACCGTTGCCCAAGACGAGCGCGAGCGGAAAAGCGTTCCGCCCGTGTACAGGTTGCCATGGGAGGCGCAAGCTCGAGAGACCGTCTGGGCATCAGCTGACCAACGAAGGAGCGCCTTGGGTATGTCGCCACTACCATTAGGTCCGGCATGTCCCCCGACAGGCGGATTTGGGGCGAAGAATTATAGAATATGCCAAGAATGCCCAAACATAGCCAAAACATGTTCCAAACAAATGTCCCCATCTAATTTTTGACTATTTTCGAACATTCCCTATGTAGAGCAACATCTTAGCGCTGCCAGAGTGGCCCATGGGAGTTGTCGGTCCTGGACTGGCTTCGTCGAGGCAAATGTCCAGGGCCCCAGCGCCCTCGTGCGGAGCCTCAGGGCAGTCCCCTGAGACTGCCCTTAAGTCGGGCGCGTCCCTCTAAAGGAGGAATATTCAAAAAGAGTCAAAACATCTGATGGCGACAATTTTTTTAACCATGTTTGGTTATTGTTGAGCAGGTTCTGGCTATTGTTTCGCTTTTCGTTCATATTCGGCCTGTAGGGGGACACGCCCGACCTTAGTCTACCCCCAGTTCAAGTTCCAGAGGAAATTGGCCCACGCCTCACAGAGCGTCGTCATACGATGCACGTGCAGATCTTCTGCTGAAAATGTCGCTCCCAGGGGTCCAGGGCGCCCACTGGGGGAAGCCTGGGGTGGTCTCGGTCGGGGAGTGTGAAAGCCCCTCCCCCCCCCGTGCGCGCAAGGAAGCTTTAGATAAAGTTCAGCGCTGGGAGATCCCGTCCAAGAGCGAAAAGGCCGACTGGTCTGATGAAAGTCCCAGCACCCCTTGACATAGACGGCGCTCAGCGTGCCACAGGGGGGTAGTCTCTGTCTGTTTGCGCCAGTTGCCTATCGGTAACATGTGCAGTCTGGTTGGTAATCGTCTCCTAATCGTCTCCCCATCCACCTTCCCTTCCTTCTCCTCGTCCTTCTCCTCGCCCTCCCCTCCCCCTCCCCCTCCCACCCCCCTCCCCCCTCCCATCCCTCTCCCCTTCCTTCTCGTCGTCCTTCTCCCATTCGTTTCCCCTACCCATCCCCTTCCTCCCCATCCTTCTCCTCGTCCTTCTCCCCCCCCACACCCCAGCCCCCAGCATCTCACTGCCCCACTCCTCCATCATCCCTTGTGTTCCTCCTTATCTACTCCCTTTCTCAAGCCTTCTGGTGGGAACTTGGAAACTTACTTCCCCTCGTTAACACCCCTCCTCCTCATTCCTTCCCTTGTCCTCCTCCTCCTCGTCCTCCTCCTCCTCCTCTTTCTCTCTCTCTCTCTCTCTGTCTCTCTCTCTCTCTCTCTCTCTCCCTCGAAGAAGAAGAAGAAGACGCGGGGGACGACGACGACAACAGACGGCAACGACGACAACAAACGACGACGACGACGACGACGACGACGACGACGACGACGACGACGACGACGACGACGACCACGACCACGACAACAGACGAGAACAGACGACAACAGACGGCGACGACGACGACGATGACCACGACCACGACGACCACGACGACGACGACGACGACGGACGGACGGACGGACGGACGGACGGACGGACGGACGGACGGACGGACGGACGGACGGACGGACGGACGGACGGACGGACGACGACGACGACAACGACGACGACGAAGAGCGGCGGCGGCGGCGGCGCGCCCGAGGCCGAGGCCGCAGAGGGCGCGCTGCGGGGGCGCCTCGAGGTGCTGGAGGCCGAGGGCGCGGGGCTGCGGCTTCGGGCCGCCGCCGCGGCCGAGGCGGCCACGCGCCGCTCCGGGCGCGTGCCGCCCCGCTGGCCCCGCGCATGCCGCCTCGGTCGCGTGCCGCCCTGCTCCTGCTCCTCCTCCTCCTCCTCCTCCTCCTCCTCCTCCTCCTCGTCCTCCTCCTCCTATGCCCGCCTGTTACAGCTGCACCTCGACGGGATGTGATTGTACCCAGGACGGACAGGGATGCTGCCACCCCCTCGAGGCCGACGTGGGCTCAAAGGATCCAGAGGACCTCGGCGAGTTTGCGACCTCGGGGATCCCAGAGAGTACCTCCTTCCCCGATCCAGACTACGACTCCGTCACTTTCCGCGCCCCCGACTCAGAGGAGGCCTGAGCCCCCAGTGAGCCCCAGTGAGCCCAGAGAGTCAAGAGTAGGTCAGAACAACCCCACCCCTTCGCCTGCGACTCCCCTCCCTCTTTCGACGATCCTGAACCTCCTGGGCCTTCAGCGCTGAGCCCTCCGCGAAACTTTTTGGCGTCCCGTTTTGTGGGGTGCGGGGCCTCGGCGCCCAGGTTTTGTTCCTCTGGCGTCCTGGTTTTCCTCGCGGCTCCAGCGAGCCTGCCCACTCGGACGACCTTGGGGCCTGGGAGGTGTCTTTAACTTGTTTCTCTTTCACGTTTTACAGCCCCGCCCCTTCGGCCTGCCTGTCTTTAAAACGTGGCAACCCAGCCGTTGAAGGGGGTGGGTGGGAGCTTTGGTGCCTTCGAGGCCACGCGCGGCCTTGTTACGAGCCGCGGCGCACTCTAGAGAGGAGTCCAGCGAAGGCCAGAGCTTCGAACTGTTGCTAGATGCTGGCACCTCTCTGTAGAGCTTCACACACACACACACACTCCTCCTCCTCCTCCGCCTCCGCCTCCTCGGCCTCCGCCTCTGACTTCTCCTCCTTATCCTCCTTTCCCTCCTCCTCTTCCTCCTCCTCCTCCCTTCCCTCCTCCTCCTCCTCCTCCTCCTCCTCCTCGTCCTCCTTCTCCTCCTCATCCTCCTCCTCCTCCTCCTCCTCCTCACCATCATCATCATCATCATCATCATCATCATCATCATCATCATCATCATCATCATCATCATCATTTCCTCCTCCTTCTCCACCTCCGCCTCCTTCTCCTCCTTCCCCTCCTCCTCCTCCTTCTCCTCCTTCTCCTCCTCTTCGTTCTCACCCTCGTCATCCTCCGTCTCCCCCCCCTCCTCCTTCTCAGCCCCTTCATCTGTATTGCGTTAGGCAAGCATGAGTGACGAGGCTGTTGCGTTCTCCCCGCGGAACAATCAGAGAGTGCGGCAATCAGCTAATTCACTTGAGTGCAGACTAGGCGGAGCAGGAGGTGCGAAGAGAAACAGAAAAGTGGAGAAGCCCGGGAGAGCATCGAGCTTTATATTTGTAGGCGACAGCAAGGTATTCCCCTCCCACCCTTCCCCAGTACCATCCTCAAGCCCGACCATCCCAACTGGCAATTGCGGCCCTTTGCGATCTTGGATATTTGTAAAGATGCCCGTCGAGCCGGCGGCACTGGCAAACGGGATGCTGTTGAATCGGCGTGCGCGCAGCACTGCACTGCGCGCAGGGCAATGCCCCCACCGAGGGCGACAGAATACCAGATCACGCGCAACGGTGTGATTCGTCATATCCTCCTCCTCCTCATCATCCTCATCCTCATCCTCATCCTCCTCCTCCCCACCACACCGCCACCACCTTAAAAGGACAAATTTTATGAGAGAAACAAGGTCCATGAGAGAGACCTACACGGATGAGAAACAGTAACTAGAATGTGTGGTGTTAAAGTGGTATTAGTAATCCCCACCCTTTAATGTGAAAGCATGACTATGTGTAGATCTACAGAGTTCGTACTCTTCCTCCTTCTCCTCTACCGAATCAAATCAAGACCTCCACCACACCCACCTCCTCCAGCACAGAAAGCTAACGCTCGGAAAATGATGTCTCTTGGAGCCTTACATGCTCATGGCGATACAAATGGAGACGAAGAGAAATTATCAAGAATCGATAACGAGGATGAAAAGGAGGAGGAAAGTGCGGCACTGCTTGGTCGGTGCCTTCACCGAGGGTCTTTGCTGGAAGGCTGCCCTTACCCAGCATCTCTTTATTGGAAGGCTGCCCTCACCGAGGGTCGAGTTAGTAGTAGCTCCTCAGCCTCCGCTACCGAATCAAATCAATATACCACCTCCACCTCCTCCGGTACACGACACGAGAGCGCGGAAATCTCTGCGGGCACGACTCACGTCAGACTGGGTCGAAGCTCCCGCGCCCCCGTTGGGCGAATGGGAGACAAGGCGCCGCCAGACTGGTCCCGACTGGAATACTCCAGGGGCCCACCTGGCAGGAGCGCCGGCCACCTAAACAAACAGGACGGACGAGGGCGGGTAACAGCACGGCACCGCAGACACTGCTGCCCCGTCCTGCGGGTCAACGCGCACTCGCTGCCCGAATGCGCAGCCCAGGCGGTGCAATGCACGGTTGACGAACTTAGTGTGGACCCTTCATGCGAACGCCGGTCGCCTCAACCCCGACCAGCGCACGCCAACAGGCGCAGACGAGTGAGCAGCAGGCCAATCAACCAACCAACCAACCAACCAACCAACCAACTAACCAACCAGGGAGGAGGTCAATCAACCAACCAATGAATAGGAAAGGAGGACAGCGTAGGCCCAACGCAAAGAACGCCAGCCTCTGCGAGACCACCGGCTGTGAGACCCCCCCAAGAGAGAGGATCAGCCGCGCCGCAGAGGATTAAAGGCCAGCAAGGCCAAAAGAGGCCAACAGGCAAGTAGGCCAAATACATTGCGATTTCCTGCCTCCGAAACCGCTTCGCGATTTTGGGGCGACGAAACTGTTGCCCCTTGAGGCCATATATGTTGATGGCTATAAGGACGGAGATAGTGAAGCGGCCGATGAAAATGACGAGGAAACACCCGGCTCACCGCATGATTGCCATGTGCCCGAAAGTTTCCAAGCTCGCAATGCCTCGTGCATGATTCCTGGGTCGAACACTTGGTCCCTCACCGTGAGGCCACTGCATTGGACGCTATTGTTCGCCAAGAGTTGCAGCAATGTCGTCCTCAATGTCTTTCAACAGATTGAACAACAAGCTCACTTTGTCATTTGTCCAACCCCCCTTGGTTGGGCATTCGTTTTGAATAGAGCACTGCGGTCGCGTTTCCTTCTCCTCCTCCTCCTCTTCCTCCTTCTCCTCCTCTCGCCTCCTGCCTTTTGCGTACCTCGTGTGTGTGTGCATCTTGCCTGCGGTACCTCTTGCGTGTGCATCTTGCCTGCGGTACCTCTTGTGTGTGCGTCTTGCTTGGGGGGATGCGATTTGTGAACATGTCGCCACTTTCGAGGGCTGCTTGGGGGGGCAGCATAGTGGTAGCCGCCGCAGATCCAAATTAGACCTCGTTATCCCTGGGGGGCAGCACAGCGATGTGCGAAATTGTCACCAGTTTCGAGGGCTGCTGGTGGGTCCAGCGGAGTGAGGCATCGCGCAGATCTGAGCGAGACCTCGCCGCCCCTGGGGGACTGCGATCTGCGAAACCGTCGTCACTTTCGACGGCTGCTTGGGGGGGACAGCATAGTGGGTAGCCGCCGCAGATCCAGAGTAGACCTCGCCATCCCTGGGGGGCTGCGATTTGCGAAACTGCCGCCGCGTTCGAGGGTTGCTTGGGGGTGTCAGCATAGTGGGTAGCTGATGCAGATCCAAATTTGAACTCGCCAACCCGGGGGGGCTGCGATTTGCGAAACTGTCGCCACTTTCGAAGGCTGCTTGGGGGGCAGCATAGTGGGTAGCCGCCGCCAATCCAGAGTAGACCTCGTCATCCCTGGGGGGGGTGCGATTTGCAAAATTGTCGCCAGGTTTCGAGGGCCCCTTGGGGGGTCAGCATAGCGGGTAGCCGCCGCAGATCTAAAGTAGACCTCGCCATCCCTGGGGAGGGGGGGGGCCGCCACTTTCGACGGCTGCTTGGGGGGGCCAGCAATAGTGGGTAGCCGTCGCAGATCCAACTTCGACCTCGTTATCTCTGGGGGGCCAGCATAGCGATGTGCGAAACTGACACCACTTTCGAGGGCCGCTGGTGGGTCCTGCGTAGTGAGGCACCGCGCAGATCTGAGCGAGACCTCGCCGTCCCTGGGGACTGCGATCTGCGAAACCGTCGCCACTGTCAAGGCCTGCTGGCGGTTCCAGCGGAATGAGGCTTCGCGCAGATCTGAGCTGGACCTCGCCGTCCATGGGGGGCTACGATTTGCGAGATTGTCGCTACTTTCGAAGGCTGCTGGCGGGTCCAGCGGGGTGAGGCACCACGCAGATCCGAGCGGGGCCTCGCAATCCCTGGGGGGGTGCGAGCTTCAAGAATGCAGTTCGCAGAGGTATATGCGCCCATGTCACGTCATCACCTCCGTCTACGGTCCCCCAAGATACTCATGCCCTGCATTGCGCAGGGGTTGAGTACGTCGCCAGGGTAATATCATACAGGCCGTGACAATGGATCGCTTGTCTCTTTTGTTGCGGGTACATGCAAGGATGACGGCGGGTGCGTCGATGTAGGCGACATTGTGTCAGCAGAAGTGCCAATGCTTGAAGCGCACGTGTTCTCATGATTTGTCAAACTGTCCGTTACGGAATGTTGCTTAGCTGGAAGAAACGCCACATCGGGTAAGAAAGGTTGGAGGTTCTCGACCATACTGTCTTTTCTATTCATGAAATCGAAGCGACGTACACCGAGCGCTACCTTGCAATTTGAGTCCATTGGCAGCCAACCGACTCATGAAGAGTAGTGAAATCTTTGACCCGCAAAATCTATCCAATTAGCATGTTGTTCCGTCGTGATAGGAGGCAAGTCGATAAAGCACTGGTCGGACGGGAGGGCGGCCGCTTTTCTTCAGCTATAGGCGCGCACGGCGAGGGAGACAATTCGAAAGTGCCGTCATCATGCACTGCGCTTTTGCCTCCCCCCTGACACCAACATCTTTGCCCACAATGTTACTCAGACTGCT